AAAGAGTGTATTTAACGACTGAACTTAAGTTAAAATATCATCCCTAGGAAAATGAGGAGCATTTTAAACAGTTTATAAACTATTTAACTAGACAAAATATAAACACGGCTTATACTATATCAGATCAATTGTCCATTGTATGATTTCGAAAGCAGGTTATTTTAAATCGAAACACACACTAGAAATTACACAAATATTGATCTTGAAATAGCTCTCAAAGTTAAGTATAGCATTTTTCGAAGTGTTGTATTAGTATAACAGATAATTACTTCAACTACCTTGTTTCCTATGACCTACTGTACCAATGACAAATCCAAGATTAAAAACGTTTGTTAATATTTGAACGATCAATTCTACAAAAGTCGGAAGTTTAGAATGAAATTATATTTGTAAAAATTTTCTGTATAAGGCACCTTTCTCTGAAATTGTTCGATTCCACTTCCTGATACTGCTATAAATATAGTTTCCTTTTAAAAGTGTCACAGTGTGACAGTTGCTTCATTTAAAGTTAATCTTTTTAAACAATAACGTACAGAATTTAAGTTTATGTTTTATAACTTTCATCTACTCTTATCTGCGTATCAACTTGTTATTGTTTAGTGGCAAAAATTAATACCCCACGTCAGGATCAGTCCTAGTAGGTTCCAAACTTTCACTGAGCTTAATAACTGAACTCCGATGGGAATTATAGCTGACGGAGGACCTGTTGGACTTTGAATTGTATTGGCAGCGTTTTGCTCTATTTGCGGTGTATGCTACTTATGTTGCCAGACATAAGTAGCATGTAACATCAAACAGAAGTGAAATGCCTGGTATCAGAAAGTTGGGGAGATCGAATTGAAGAGAACAGAAATGTAAACGGAGATTAACTTTAATAACAACAGGAATGGAGAAGTTTGTAAGAGACAATTGATGAAAGATGTACAGATGAAGGTTTTAGCATACATAAAGAAAGATTGACAGCAGATGTGCTGTATATATGATGAATAAGAACAGCCTGAATAGAAAGGATGGTATTCAGCTAGCAACTACTTGGTAAATATTCGTTAACAGGTAATTAGATCCTTTCTCTATCCAACCTGTTTATTCCACATACATCGTTATTGTGACTGAAATTGGTGTGGGTTATTTAAGCAATACAATTACGTATTTGATGACCCTCATTTTACATACACATCGATGATTCAGAAACAGTTTTTCAACTTTCAACTTGCACTTTTATTTATTCCTTTATGTAAAACATTAACACTGAATATTAATCATTAATAACTCAATCTTACGCATACATACACACACAATTCATTCAGTCGTTTACTTTCACATCTTGAACTTTTCACTGACTCATGTTATCCGGTTTACTAAAATCAACATCCAAATATGATTGGTTTAGCACAGTATAAATTTGTTCTAATTGTTGAACGCTATATATTTCTTTGATGATTTTGATTTTGATTATTACCCTGAAGAAGTTCAGACAAGTTTGCTGGACGAAACGTTGGAATTATTTAAATTTCAATCTCTGAGGTTATTTCAGATATAATTTTCAATTATAATGACTTCTCCATACTCGGAGCCCAATTTTTGTCAAACTATTCGTTCTAATATTGACGATTATTCGTATAGATTATTTTATATATGGCTTTCATATTCTACGAAAACATTCGGTAATTTTGTATTGAACAAAAAAATTCAAAAATGAAGAATATTTGAGCGAACAATAGTTCGGATGTGTTTTAACGTCATATCGTTCTTTCGTATACTGACAGTTGTACTGAACGTTCGTTCGGGCATTGTTAATGCAACAGTTTGGGCACCTGGGCAGTATCACAGGCCTCATACAAATCGAATGAGATTTGTGAGGCGCATATATATCTGGTGCCTCCTTGTACCAATATTTATGTATATTAAAGATTCCCATTGTGAAAATTAGAACAACATATGTAAGCGAACAATTGTTTTCAATTAGATCGTCATCAGGCTTTACTCTAATATACATGAATATTTATGTTTGGTTACGTATTCTATTTCGTTGTGATTATTGACTCAAATAGCCTTGATTGGTGTAACATTTTCCTATAAATATTCATGTATATTAGAGTAAAGCCTGATGACGATCTAATTGAAAACAATTGTTCGCTTACATGTGTTGTTCCAATATTTATGTGTTTAAATAAATATAATAAATATTTTCCAAAGGCCAAAATAAAGCATGTATTAATGAATTTAACAATGCTATATGTAATTTAGTAGTTGAGTTCATGAGTCAATTGAAGCCAAACCACCATGGGAAAGCTAGAAGCATAGGACGGCCATCTCGCCCTAATGTGGTACTCCTCAGCAGTGCGCATCCACGACCCTTCCCCGCGGGATTCGAACCCAGGACCTACCGGCCTCACGCGAGAACGCCTAACCTCTAGACCACTGAGCCGGCATTCAACGATGTTAATGTCTAACTTCAAACAATTCACGAAATTGAGCCATCATCCACCATTGTCTTCGGTGAGCTACTATCTCACAACAGACCCGGGTGAACTCCACTGCTTCTCACTAGAACTGCAGGAAATACCTCGAAGCTAGTCACTAGTGAGCATATGATAATTTTTATCAGAAAAGGGTTTTTGGAGATTATAGTTATCTAATAGTTGAGTTCATGAGTCAACTGAGGCTAGATCGCCATGGAAAACCTGTAGAGCCTGATGAAGTTATTGAAAACAATTGTTTGCTTAATTATTTTTCATTTTTGAAAATTCTATGGGGATTTTTAAACAAAAAATTCGTCCTTCCAACATAAGTTCTCGTCCACTTCATATTAACTGATTTCAGAAGAGAATGACACAATGATAAATCTGTGCAGTGATTGGATACTGAACAACCAAAACTGAATGCAGAATGATCCTTGTTTACATCTTTTTTTGTAATTGGCTAGAGAATCTGGCTTTAGATAGCTTAGATAGCCTTCCAGCCTAACTAAATCAGTTTTGACCAGATTACCTGCGATAAGCATGTTTTAAACAACAAAAAGACTGACGAACATTTGTGTCTTAGTGGAATTTGCTAACTATAAGAAAGTCTCTGTCTAGGTACAGAACTCACCTTAGAATTAACACTATCAGGAACATTTCCATTATGCGACAATTTGTTTGACCAAACACTCTGGTGATATCTCTTAATTTCGGAATTCCTCGAACTATGTAGAGTTCTACTGCGAATAATCTTGGAAATGAGAGACTAATTCATTCTATTGTTCTACTTTTTATGTCAGCCAGTTGCTAACTGTGTCAAGTAGGCCTGCTTGATTGCCATTGTATATTTCTAATTGGGAAGTCAGTCAAATATAAATGATAATCATGTAATTGGTGTCTATCAGATTTAATAAAATTACTCACTTTTATTGATAGAAATCTATTTAAGAAAAGTTAGGCCTTAAGTTTCCTCAGTAAATTACGATCAGGAAGAAAACAGTTTATACAAACGTGTGATATTAGTTAGAGCAACTGAAAATATTGAATTGCTGTTGTTGCCGTTTAAAAATCTTATTGCTTTTTTAAAACTTCATACTAAAACTGAATTAGTTTTAATTAGAACCATTTAAACTCCTTTCAGATAGTTAAAAAAAACTATCAAAATTTCATGCAACTTATACTTTTCTCCACAAGTATTATCTAAAAGAATAATGAAAATCACTTGATTTTCATCTCATTGGATACTTTAAAGAAAGACGATACATACAAAAAATTAATTAAATTTCTACGATTGTAATAAACAAAAGCAAAAAAGAAAGAGTAGTAGGTGAAAAAAAGTAATTTCTTTTATACTACCCTTATTCACTTTACACTCTCTTCTGTTATTTTTTTCTCTTCAACCTTACAAATTTTCAAAGATTCAATTGGCATTGTTAAAAACAGTTGCCAAAAGTTAATTTATACATCTCCTTTTATTTTTGAACATTGTGTCCAAGATTTGTAGTTATCGATAAAAACAATTTCATCATACATAAAAAATACATCCGTATACATTTATGAATATACAAATAGAAGCTTACAAATAATGATGTGAATTATTGTAAATTTCCTACATACTTAGACTTTTATTATATAAATATATTATACAAGTAAGATAACAATGAAATACAATAGTTCAATTAAAAATCATATAAGAAATTATTTATTTTTTTTTAGAAAATAATTAAAAATGAAAATTTAAACAATCAAATGCGAATATTAAATGAAAAGGATAAAAAAAGAAAGAAAAAGAAAACAATCGAAAGAGCATTTGACAAAATGTTTCCCCCCTTTTTTTTCTTTTAAATATATTTAACAGTCAGTATGGAAGGTGGAAACAAAAAGAAACAAACAAAAAAAAAAAGGAAAATCATATTTAATCACAATGTATAAAATTCATTGATACTTAACCTTTTCAAGATACATTAGATACTCATTATTCTTTTCAATGATAATAAAATTTATATTTACATTTATAAATCATGTTTGATTAAAAGTTTTCGTTGTTTAATTTATATATAATTTTAAGAAAACATTTAAGAAATATAAACAAGAAAACTGTTTATTTAAGATGGAAGCACTAAGTTTACTTTTTTTAAAAAAAAATGATCCATAAAAAAACAAAACAACAATCAACATTCCATATTTGAATTGTAAACAAGAATTCCATATGATTTCAAAGTAATATCGTAATGAAAGTGACAAAAAAAAAGAAAAAAAGGAAGTAGTTTATAACTCAATTAAACAAAATGGGATAATAAAGAAAACGATAATGTAATCAATAAATCCACACAAAAAAAATAAACAAACAAACATTTGTTTATAAAATAATTCAGTTCGAATTTTGAAAAATCGATTTTTTTTTGAAAATTAAAGCAGATTTATGATTGTTTAAATTTATTCAACGTACAATATAATAATATTATTGTTTGAACAAGTTATATATATATATATATATATATATATATATATATATATATATATATATGAAAGTGAGCAGGAAATCCTTTGGACCGATCTAGATATAAGGCTTAAATAAGAATCAATTATCATAGTAGAAACTAATAATAAAGTCGTTGAATATAGAAACTCATAAATGAACATTGTATATTGTTCATCCAAACAAAAATAATAGAAACAAACGAATGAACATTATTTAGTTGTAGAAAAGAAAGAAGCCGAAGAAGAAGAATATTAGAAATTAGTTTCAGTTAATTTTTTTCGATTCAATGAAGCCATTTCATGAGATTTATAATTTTTTACATATTTTGATTGGATATTCGTTGAAGATTTATTCGTTTCTGTTTCTTTTAAATATTGATTACTATGATTAGTATTATTATTACTATTATTAACTGGTTCTATATACAAATCTTTCATTGGTTGTATTATACAATTAACTTGTTGTTGTAAAAGAAAATCATCAAATGTAATTCGTATTGAACTAAATGGTATGCCAGTTTCAACAAAATTTGCAATTCTTGTATAAATTTCTGGATAATGATGTCTTAAACTAACACCTCGTTCACGAAGCATACGTTGTAAACGAAGCATATAAGCTTCTCTAGCAACTATTGCTTGTTTATCTATTTTCATTGTGGCAACTTTCATATGTGATACTTCAGGCTTTTCAGTAGGTTGTGTATTTTGCGAGGCGGCAACTTCATTTTTATTCCTTAAATTTGAATGAGAAGGAAACGGTAGTATTAAACTTTGCTTAAATAAATGCACTGGACGACCATCTTTTCGAGCAATTAGCTCATATGCGCATACAACTACAATTAAAACCATACTTGAAGAAGGATTGTATGATTTACATGGATTAGCAACACTTGAATCTAATTCTTCCAGCTCATTAAGTGTAAGGTATGTAGGAGGAGCCATTAAACCTCCTGGACTCGGTTGGTGAAGTCTTTCCCATTGACGAAGCGCTTTTTCTATAGAAGTATCGTCTAATTCTTCATTTACAAATGAATGTTCTAATGATCGTTGTAAAAATGTTTCGGCATGTTTAATTAATGAAAATGATAAGAGTATACCACCTCTTCCAAGACGAGCCATACCAGTTTTAGCAAGAGCTGTAAGGCCTGTAATTTGACCTGGAGCAAGATTTCGCAACAAACGACAACAAACACGTTTAGCTCTAGAAAATGAACAGTTTGAAGGGTGATCACTTGGATTACTTTCACACTCTTCTCGACATTTATTTGAACAATATAACGTAAAACAATTGGCGCATGCACACCATTTATTGGCTTGAGACACTGGTAGAGGTTTGGTTGAGCATGTAGATTTACCACAACTTATGTATAGTAAACCATCAATTGGATGACGTATCATCGCACCAGACAATTGATTTAATCCGAATTCTCCTAAATTTAATGGTTTATGACTGTCTGGTCCAGCAATAAGTTGTAAGTATTCATAACGATGAGAATCTTCTTTTATGTCAAACTCATGAGCCGCTATAGAAATAGCTTCAGCAGCAGTAGGAGGAAGATAACGATGTTCAGCCTCCGGATAAACAGGCCACCAACCAACACTTATCAATAAATGTTCAAGGGCTGATGGTCTATTTGCAAGAAGACTACGATGTCTTGATGAACATGTATCAAGCAATGAAGTTAAACAAGTTAAATCAGATAATTGATCAAATCCATCTGTAACCTCAGACTCAGTTTCACCATCTGCATCTGCTGAATATAGTTCATTATATGAGATTTTATCTGGCGGATTTATCATTTGTGAAGACTCTTTACTTTCTGAATCATCTAAACTAAGACAATTTTCAATACTACTAGCATTCTTTTGAATAAATTGCTTAGATTCAAGATTACTTTGATTTAAATATTCTTTTGGTTTTACTAAGACATTAGTTGTAGTAACATTTTCATATTTTCTATCAGATTGTTTTTGATCTTCTTCAGAAGAAATCATTTGATGCTCATTTGAATTTTCTGTTCCTGAATCATGATCAACATCTTTTATATTAGATAATGATATTGTAGGTTTTGAATCAGTATTAAATTTATGAGTTATAATATTTGGTGATGAAATCAAATTAATTTTCTTGACTGAATTAGATTGATTTATATCCAATTTTGAATTATTATCTAAATATAATACTGATTTATTAGCATCATATTTATCTGGTGGTTCTGTAGTTGCACGATTAAATCTATTTAGTTTCTCTTTACACCATCTTTGTTCATATTTTGGTATAAAATCTTGTGGATTTAATTCAATTAATTTACCTTGTCCTTTAGTATAATTATGTCTTGGAGCAACTTGTGGTCGTATATCTTGTGATTCAATTGATTTATATCGTTGTGCACTTAATGAACGCATTGAATTATTTAGTTTTGATTGAATAGGACGTAAATAATTATTGGTTTGTCCAGATTTTTGTTTAATTAATTGACTAGGTCTAACAAAATTTGGTGGATTTAAAATATCTGATTTTGGCCATATTGGTTCAGCTACTGTTTCAATTGTTTTTTGTGATAAATTCGATATATTCGTAAGTGAATTATCACTAGGTTTACAAATACTAGATAAAGATCGAAGCGATGAAATTAGTGCTTTATTTGTACGTGGTGTATACGATGGACTGGGAAAATGCTTTTGAGTTGCATGTTCGAATTGTGTTCTTTTCTCGTTTATATTATATTCTTTCACTGTATTAGTGGTTATTAGATCAGATGTGGTTTGTAAACAATTCGCTTTATCTAACCATTCAGGGATATGTAGTTTTGTTAATGATTGAGCTATTCTTAATTCATGTGTTGAACGCGCTTTCTCTTTTAATCGATCAATCAAACCTTGTGCGCCACCGGTTGTTGTTTTCTTTTTGTATCTTGCAACCTCATATTGAGGTGGTACTTTTTGTAGATCAGATTCTTCACTGTTAACGAGACCTTGATAACTTTTAGCTTTTTGCCATTGATCAGTTGGTGATTGAAGTAGTTCAATTTCACCAGTTTCTACTGTGTTTCCACCGAATTCATTAGATTTTTGACGACGGAATGCCCCAGGAGTACGTGTGAATGTGAGATTGTATAAACTACGAGTTCTATCTTGATATGTATCAATTATTGCGGCATCAAATGATCCATCATTGACTTGAGTATTTAATTTATCTAAGTCAGTTTCTAAAATAACCGGTCGTTTGAAATTTTCACCAGTGTCAATATCAGTCTCTAATAAAGAACTATACGATTTGGTGTCACCAAAAAATTTCTTCGTTAATAATTTATTTGGTTCATTTTGAATATTATATACACCAGAAGAATATTGATAGGATGGTGTGGTTGGTGTTCTGGCTTTTTGAATTTGAGCATCTAAATCAAACAGTGAAGCAGACTGTCTTGCTTCCGAATGCGATTCACTATCTGTATTTAATTGATTCGTGGCTTCAATTGTGTCAGCTCTTGACTCAGCTATAGCTGAATCTAAATCTGTAAATCGATAACGTGAATCTGATCTTGAACTACGTGGACGATAAGGTGAAGGCTGAGGGTTTTGTACAGAACGTGATTGACGTTCCTCTTGTCGTTTGCGGCTAGAGCTCCTCAATCTTTCACGAATCTCATCATCAGTGGGTATTGGTTTTAGGTGCCATTTTGTACGTGGATGGTAGTGAGTTGGTGGTTTAGATGTAACTGTACTAGGAGATAGAATATGATGGTGTCTTGGGGGGCTCGGACTCATTTGTCTGTGTCTATGGTTTAGGTCCCCCTTTAAAATCGGAGTATTAGATAACTCAACTGATTCTTTAGGTTCATTCACTTTCCGTAACTCTTCACTCTTTATATACAAACCTGCATTATAATTTGAAGTTAAAGGTAAATGTTTATTTTTTTCATTAAGATCATTAATTAATTCGTTTGATTTAATCACAGGTTTATGAGTTTCATCTTTTATTGTTACAGACCTATATGATGCATAGTTTTGGATTGGTTTATAATTTCTGTCTTCATTTATTTCTCTTACTTCTGGAGTATTTTGTCGACAGCTTTCAGATACACCTGAATTGGTAATTATTTGATTATCTATGAACTCTTTTTCGGATAAAATTGGTCCTGGTTTGTATTTAATAGAACTATGAACTTGATTATCTAAATCACCACAATCGCCTTGTAGAATACGACTTTTTCTTTGTGACGCTAGTTGAATATCATCTTGTTCAGCTTTTATTGGTTCATAATAATGGAGTGACGTAGGTTGTTTAACTGTCTCAAATGAGACTACATTAGTTAATGTTTTATTCTCTTGTAATGATGGTATATTATTATTGTTATCTGTATACCTTGATCGATCTTCTATAATATATGGGGATTTAGCAAGAATTGTTGATGACGTTGATCCTATTACTGATTGATTTTTAACATAACTTGATGTTTTATTTATTCGATTATAATCATCTAATTCATTATCATAAAAATTTTCTGTATGATATTCATATGGTTTACTTATTTTTGTTTCATCTTTAATATTTATTAAACCATTTGTTGATCTGTAAGATTGATTATCATGATTTTGTTCATAAATGATACGATCATGATGTTCATTTGAATATGATGTGTGAAAGTTTGGTTGTATTATTTCATCTGTATATTTTGAATTGGTTAAGTTATTTTCATATAAATTTGATGCATAAATTTGAGGTGAATTGGAACTTTGAATGATTGGAATATGTTCTAAAATGAATTGGAAAAATCAAAATCAAGATGGTATTATGGTTTAAGTTAATGTTAAACGAAGTGTTGTAAGCAAAGATGGATAGTAGCTAGCAGTGGAATCTAGGACGCGCGTTTCGTCCCGTTTGGGACTCGTCAGCTGGATGTACCTACATCTCAGAGTTGATGTTCACTCTGGGACTCGAACCTAGTACCTTTCATTATCCACTCAGCTACTAAAAGGTACTGGGTTCGAGTCTCAGAGTGAACATCAACTCTGAAATGCAGGTTCATCCAGCTGACGAGTCCCAAGTAGGATGAACCCTGCGTCCTACATTCCACTGCCAGCCACTATCCATCTTTGCTTACAATGCTTGTGAAATAAGGCTATATCGAGGCAATACGCAAAGTACGCACATATTCCAATTAGAGACTAACCAGTTGCAGTTCTAACACATCAATGGGAAAATTCAAACAAACAATACGAAGTGAAGTTAAATGAAGTGGTCTTGTGGAGATGCTTGTAAAATTTAAACGAACAAGATTTTCACGTTTTTGCAACATCATACGAGATAGAATCTAGACTTGTCAGGTTTTACAGTAAGCAAAAATTATCTTCAAAATTCAAAAAGTAGTTCACAAAATCCAGTTTGTGAATTAGAATTAATTGCCTATTAGTTAGTATCATTTTTGCAGTAAACCAAGTTAAAACGAGAACATTTGACTACTAGTCAAATTGCATGAGAATTATGAAGTATTGTAAATTGGTTGAATTCAAGTCATGGACTAATAGATTTCTGTGATCTAAATATATTTTGCTCTCCTGAAAATCTCAAGGTTTCGAGCGGCAAACAATGTGAGAAAAAGGGTGGACGTTTCTGGGGAATCCCAGTCTAGGGAAAAAAGCTAACCAGTGCTTCCTTATTTTCAGTTATTCTTCAGTTAACTTCAGTCAGTCATGTAAATGATCTTTGAATTACATAATTAGGTAACATTAAAAACTGCTGTCAGTTGAATTGGCATATTAAAACCTTGTTGGCTGCAAAACTGAGATAATGAAATAATTAGCGGTTTGGTATGATGAGTCATAAAAGTTAGAAAATAACAAAACATAGTCATATGAGTGGTTATAAAACATGTGTGTAACTATGTTTCTGTGTTTTTTTTGACTTTAAGGTCAATATTTTCACCTTTAGCAGCATATTGTGGGTAATCAGTGTACGTAGTTACATGTCAAAACGATTAAATCACAACTGTCTTTTGGGAACTTCAGATTTTCTTGGCAAAAATAAACTAGGTCAGCTGATTGGACTAAGTATGCAAAAATGTTACCTGAATTTTGGCAAACCTGGGACGATAAGGTCAATACCTCCAAGTTATATACATATTAAATTCGTTACCTCAGTCCGTGATAGCTTAGTTCCTTTTAATTCTAAAATTTATATCATTCTTTATATTGAATACTAAGTTATGAAAGTAATCATTTATCAGTTTGCTTAAATGTCTCAAAATGCTTAGATCTGCGATGCATATCACACTGTCCACTAATTTTAGCAAACGGAGCCAGACCACGGGCTAATCTATAGGAGAAGTACTAGACAATGTATAATCCCTTACTACTCTGTGAACTACAAGGTGCAAATAGTTCTGTTCTACAGGGCTTCAATTGTAGTCTGAATAACTTTCTAGCAGTATTTCTGACTGAAACATTAGGTAGGATCATTTACCACAAAACTGGAAATTCACACTACCGATAAATTACTGAAATCCATTAAATCTAGGTTTCCGTCTCTCTATCAATTACCCTACATTACTTAAAAGTGAATAAAAACTCGATTCTAACAGTTGTAACGAACGGTCTTTTATGGTAAAAGATATTGCTCATCAAAATTTACATCGGCAGTTAAATCTTTATAGTATGGAGGTTTGTTCAACATCTATTTGCAGATATATCACTCAAATGTAGAACGAAAGGATATTTGGGATGCTATTATTATACGAAAACCAAATGATGATCATTTAATGATCACTATTTTTTTTTATTAGAGTATCAATCATTCAATGTTTCAGATTGTAAGAAAGCAATTAATCGTCACTACATAACACGCTGTAGTGATGAAGAGAAACAATCAAAAATATCTTATAAAACTTTCTATACCTATTCGTTTATATCTAAGATAATTAGCTCATGTTGAAAAGAAGATATTTTCACTAATACATCAGAAACTACTAAAAATAATTACATAAACAAATGAAATAAGCATACGATTTAACACTCCATTCATAGACATAACATATTAGACATCAAAGAAGTTAGTAAGTATTGACCCTATACAATGAAATATATTTGACATTTTGTAAACTCTCTAAAGTGGATTAATTGAAGAAAGGATTATATTTCTTGTTTCATTTTGAGATTTGTTACGAATTCAAACTCGTTATAAGTAGTCAATTAAATATAAGAGAATTAAAAAAAAATCATACTGTTTAAGCTTCACTGATTTACTTATAAAATTATTGATTCAGTATAATATGATTTACAATCCATCAGGATGACCAAAATATATTGATATTTACCTTTTCATTACTTTAATTCATTATAAAGTTCATTACCTGTTGTTATTTTATTAACTATTCTTTTCAAAAGTGTGCACCCACAACCCTATATTAGATTGGAAGTCAGCTCCACTAGTCCGTTGAAGCATATGATATTTTTAGACTAGTGTGCTGGTATCAGTGGTTAACATCTCCAATGTCAATCGGTTTTAAAGTGATCTAATGGTATTGGGATCACCATGATGCAAAAGGTTGCGTGTTGTTTAACAGTACCAAATTAGAATAACACAGCTGTCAAGTTCTCCCTGATTTTCAGTGATTATCTAGATGAAGACAGTCTATGATCTAAACTATTATTGAATTGTTATTATTTCAAATGATTCTGATTTCCACTAATTTATTACTCATCTTTAACATGAGTCACTGGAGTCTAACAATTTCTACTGATACATAATGTCATAGAATATCTTAATTTGGTTTATGCACACACACGTACGACTCACATTTTGTATTCTTACCAAAAATGTTTGAAACGATCTCCGAAGCTGAAATATCAGATAAATTTACTATGTATTTCTAATCATTTGAAAGGTTCAAACTTCAGAACGTTGATGTTTAAAACTGAATTCATCATTTTCTGTTGACAAATTACATATCTCCATATTGCCTGATTTTCATACAACGATAATACTTTTAATGAAATCTAGCATATATCACTAAAAATTCTATTGCATTTAAAGCATCAGTCACAAACTTTAGATTTTCATTTAACTCATTAGGTATCCAATTAGGCTATATCTATCTATCTATCTGTATATATATCCGTTTTGTTTGATTTATGTTTCTTAAATAAGATTGCTTATGAACCTGTTCATGCATGATATTTCCTGAAGTGTATAGATTAGTGAAAAGTAAAAAATTATTATTATTTCAAAATCTTTTTTCTTTTTTTGGTTGGCATTAAAACTGAGTTCAGTTTTCATATTCTTTCATGTTGATACATGAATTTTTTTTTTTTACCGAAAAGACAAAAATGATTACAAATAGAATTCAATTCAAACTTTTAGTGATTAACTGAAGAAATAATGATCTAAAATAATGTTCACTTATTCTTTTTTCCGGGATTAAATGTTTTCTTATAATAGATAATTTGGTTCTATTTAGTGATTAAGTATTATAAATGATAGATTGCTTGCGATTATTCAGTTCTATCTCGATTTCGCTTTGTTAAACACTATAAAAGCTTTTGTTTTCATTAGAAGATAAAAATTAAACTAGCTGTATTGGAAATAAATAACAAAGTAATTCATTTATTTTTTGAATATTTAAAACCAGTTTCTTCCACTATGAAGACAATTTTTTTCAGATAAGAGTATCAACCAATGAATGAAAAAAATCCAGAATGGATTAGAGGGTCACTTTTTTCTAGTTTGGAACTTCTTATAAGCGTTCATCTGTCACCATACTTGAGAATGAAGCTATTACTCACGGATAGGCTGTTGATTGATTAATTATGCTAGAATCCATTAAACCATATATTTGAGCTTCAGCCAATTCCTAATGTAGTGTAACTATCACAGAATCCTGTTGAAAGATAATCTTTGTATATATCACAACTTCACTGCACATTTTACGGGATAGGGATCTTGATATGAATCACTGGTTAGCGGTCGATTACTAGTTATTTATTTAAGTAACCTATGTTTAGTTATCTCGTTTAAAGACAGTTTCTCTTACCATGTTTTATTCACACCCGACCTAACAGACTCATATACAAACGAACATTTCAGGCAAGTGTAAAATTCCATTCAGACATTTAGTACATAGGCAAACAGAGTAGATGAATTGAAAGAGATATCTCTTCGTTTTATTCGTCTTTTTACTGAACGAAAATCTGCCATTAGGAACATTTTATAGGTAGTTTCAAGCTCTGCAAGTCATAGAATCTAGATTTCAGGCTACTTCAAACTTGTCAGCAGCCAATATCTCTAAGCTTATGGGGAGTGTTTTCCTTCCTATGCTATTTGAACTCTAGTCTTATGTTGTTACGCATATTACCGATAAGCTAATAGAGCTACCACTAATATTTTGTAAGCATAAAATATTTATTCTGATTGATCATTGAAAAATAACAATTGTCATTGTTGTTTGGTTCTCTTGTTCTCATTAATTCATTAACCATTTACAAATCCATGTACTTGACTTTGAGCTGCAATGCATGGATGAGGGCTAGTGATGCTAAGTTAGTTCCCAAACTAAAGTAGGTGGCATAGAGTTTGATTCTACAACTTGATGATTGAAATTCAAATGGTCTAACCAATGAGTCAGTGTTACAAACTCATTAGCATAGTATTGATACCCCTAACTAATGATATAGACCGTGTTCGTATTGATGAAATCCTATATAGTGATTTTATTACGAAATATATATGAATACACTAACGAAAGATAAAACAGAAACATCA